GGAGAGCCCCTGGCACAATCCCCACGTGTGTGTGCCGCTGCGCCTGCCACTCAGCGTGAGGGGGATTTTCCCAGTGGGCGAGAATATCCGACCGGGACTTTCCCGAGCGTGGCAGGAAACTCCGATATGAACTCCCCGCAGAGAGCTGGGCAGCAGAAACCCCCGTGTACAGTCCGCGGGGCCCTTGTGACTCGGGGGGGCTGTAGCGCTTACATCTGGCAGCTGAGGGCAACGCCTCGGGCGAGAACCCAGCCCGTGGGCCAAAACGTGGCTCGCAGTGTCCCGTGGGAACGCAACAAGCGAGCCCAGCCTGGAGGGGTTTGAGCTGTCGGGGGCAACAAGCCAGCAGCGCGGATGGCGCTTTCCTCAGCTACCTGTTGTGGAGGAAAACTTTACAAGATCTGCCTTTACTGGGGTCGTGTTCTTTCGGCGCAAGCGGGTGTCATTGCGGTGCTAGCTGTACATGGCCTTGGGCTAATGGTTAATAAATGGAGCTAATGTGACTTGCCACAGAGGTCCGTGTCCATTTATTTACTTTAGAAGACTTGTGTCTAACGCTGCGTCTGCGAAGAGCTGCCTGTACTCTGCCAGGTCGCCTTGATTAAAAGCTCTTGTGCGGGGGAGGGGAGAGGCTAGGTTTAAACTCAAGGTAGTAATGTAAAAGGGCTGCCCTGAAAGGAGGGGGCTTGTAGCTGCTCCAGGAGGGTTTCTCCTGCTGGAATGCAGCAGCTGCTGCCAACTTACTAGGACATAGCTGAGTGGAGGCAGGTGCTAGGATCTCATTCAGCCATGCCAGCTTAGCCTGGAAGCCAGAGCCTGCAATGGCCTATTTTACTATTTTACTGTGCCTTGTTCAGTCTGTTGTGGAGATACTAGCTGAGGCTCCTCCCATGAGCCTGTCGTCTTACAGACATAGGTTGGCTATTAAACACACCTAAATCTTCCTGCTTGTGGCACACGAGTCTAATATGTCTCCCTTCTTGGTGTCACCCCCCTTCTGACATGTGATTGTGGGGTTTCTTGGTTTTTTGCAAGCTATATGGCTATGTCTACACTGGCAGCTTGTTGCACGAGAGCTCCTTTGTGGAAGAGTTCTTGTGCAAAAACTCTTCCAGAAGAGCATCTACACTGGCATGTACTTTTGTGCAAGAGCATCCATGCCAGTGTAAACACTCTGGTGCAAGAAAGCTCTGATGGCCATTTAACCATAGAGCTTTCTTGCGCAAGAAATTCATATTGCCTGTCTACACTGGCCTCTTCTGGAAGAGCTCTTACACAAGAGGGCTTATTCCTGAGCAGGAGCGTCAGAGTTCTCACGCAAGAAGCCCTGATTTTATACATTAGAACATCAGTTTACTTGCACAAGAACATGCAGTCAGTGTAGACAGGCAGCAAGTTTTTGCGCAAGAGCGGCTGCTTTTACATGAGATCGTGCCAGTGTAGCCTGAGCTAAACACATAGGTGGTGTCTTAAGTCTACACTGGCACTTCACAGCATTAACTTTCTGGCTAAGGTGTGGGAAATCCCCCTTCCCTGTGCTATAAGTTGCAGCATTGAAAAGCATCAGTTGTGAGCCAGGCTACCATGCTGGGAGCCATGCTGTTAGCTGCTCCCCTTATAGAGGTGGCTTAGGTAGAGTGCTGGGGGAGTGCCAGGGCCACACTTCAAGTTTAAAGTACAGCTGTGATAGCACTTCAAAGCCTCAATTGTTCTTCAGAGATCATTCCCTCCAGTCTCCTGACTGCTCTTCACTGACCTTTTCTAAACTCCAACTTGTCAATATCTTGTAACATGGTGCCAAGTATGGAATACTGTCTGCCAAGTGTGGTCTTGCTAGAGCTTATAAAGTGGCATTGTTGCCTTGCTGATCAGTGATTCTGTTGGATACTCTGTGAGGCAGCAGAGCACTATAAGTAGAACTTTAGGAATGGCAATTGTTCTAAGTTAACAACAAAACATTGTGATTCCTTCTAAAGCTTACAACTGAACATTGACTTAAAATAGCTTTGAAACTTTAGCAAGCAGAAGAAAAAGGTTGTTTCACTTTTTTTAGTAGTTCAGGTTTTATGCAGTATCTGAGGAAGTGGGTCTGGCTCACGAAAGCTCATCACCTATTAAACCATCTTGTTAGTCTTTAAAGTGCTACACTCTCCTGGTTTTTTTTGTTTTTTGTTTCAGCTGCATCAGACTAACACAGCTACATTTCTACCACTATGTATACTGTGTGTGTCTGATGCTGCCTGACCGTGTTATGGCAGTTCCAGTGAGGGGTGCAGTTGACTGAGTTACAAACACCAGAGTTAGGAACTCAGAGGTACACACCATAGTGGCTTCACTGTAAGTTGCAATGTAGTCCATCTACATGGTGTTTTTTTTTCTTTTTCTTTCTCTTTCAAATGTCTTTTAATGCTTCAGAGGAAAGTAACTATAGGATACTAACTAGTCAGGACTTCTCTTGTATGTCCTCTCTAAAACAGCGTTCCAATCACAGCAGTTAAAATCTGCAGAATTGCTCTGCAGCTGTACAGGATGTTCTTTTGAGGAAGCCATCTTATTGAACTTTCTCTTTGATATACTATTTAAACTGCAAGCAGTAGGTTAAGGCAAGGAGGCAAAGGTCACCTGTTAGTTCAGGCTTTTAGTTATCACTAGAACGAGGATGTCTACACTACTACGCTTTTTTTTTTTTTGCATAACCAATCTGTTTAGCTATTCAGATACCTAGCCATGAAAAGCATGTGAGGACTTTAATAATTGGTACAGTTTTTTTCTTTAGTGATCAGCATATAGCCTAAGAAGTTGTATGCTATCCTGCTTAGTATTGCTGCATGTGCTGCCTTTAAGTGAATGTTTGATCCATCCTTTTTTGATAGGCAGTATGATGTACTTTTTAAATTTTGCATCTGTCCTGCAGCTGAGAGTTCCACAGGTGGTGGTATTTCTTACCCCAATCAAGCTATTCGTAACCCTTCAAAATATTTGCCTTGCCATCTTCCTGGGGCATGACAATGACACAACAATGGTATTTGGATGGCTTCATTGCTTTGATGTTGGGGCTCTAGATCTGTTAGCTATTATATCTGTCTTTAGAGACTAGTACTGAGCATGACAAATTCCAGATATGGTCCAGCCTGTTGGATATAAAAACGGATGTTGCTAACGGTAATGGCGGAGAGCATCCATTGTAGTTCAACATATATATTTTGGCTGTGATGATCCACTTTGTGGTAAGATTTAGTAACGAATACTCATGAGAGGTTATACTTAAATCCTATTGCAAGGGCCCTGGCTGCTACAGGATTTTTGGAGATGGGTCAGGAATGTCACTTAAACAAAATGGTAGCTTGAAAATGAATAGTCCATACAGCAGTCCTTATGTATTTTGCTTCATGGTAGTCCGAGACAAGGTAGTGGGATAATCTCTCTCACTGGATCAGCTTCTGCTACTCAAACTTTTGGGATACATGTAGCTCTTCTACAGGCCTTTTTGAAATAAAGACAACTTCTTTAGTTATGTCTCGAAGTCAGGGACAGAATTTTAGTTTTTTGTGTGTTTGTTTGTTTTTGGTTTTTTTGGTAGCTGGGGTGCTCTCTCTTCCCTGCCCACAATACTGGAGGGACTAACAGAATAGAGACTTGGCTCGATTCCAGAAGCACCAGAGCCACTTCTTGTAACACCATGGATTCTCATGGGTATCTCCTATCCAAATACTTAACAGGTCTTACCCTGTCTAGCTTCTGAGAACACTGCCTGATTGGCTGCACATCTATATTCTGCATAAGTGAAAGTCTGGTACTGTAGAAAACTTCCCATTACAGGGTTAAGTGATTCTCCCATTTTTTTTTAACTGTCACTTTGGGATACCACAGTCTCGTCCCCAGACTGCCTCTGTGTGTCTGAGGGGAAATGCTGCTTTGCTTCAGTCTCTGATGCTGGAGTTTGGTGCAGTGAGGCTGAGTTGGCATGCAATACTCATGCTCACATGCCTCCTCTGAAGGTCAGAAATTTGTTGTTAGATTGCTACAGTTTGAACTGTGTAGGGTTTTTTTAAATGCCACAGTATCTGTGGCAGAAGTAGTATTGCAAAGTTCTGTGGAGAGGTGGCAGTGTTTGAGACACCTTTGCAGGCCCATTAATAGGCTGATATTGCACGTATTGGGGTGTGTCAGTTTCTGACAAGATGGCTGCAAAGGTGACAAATTCTTCCTGCTTTATAGGTTACTGAACAATCTCTGCATATGCAGACATTAACAGGACATGGGAAAACTAACAGGCTGTGGGGAAAAGATGCAAGTTGGTTTGGTTATGCTCAGACACTTCAAGGTGGCACTTCTATAAGTGTCTCAAGCACAGGATTCTGGTTTTGGTTGGAACAACTGACCGGTGTATCACTTCATTCCCGCTCTGGCACGATCTGATACCAAGTGTCTCAGTTGGAGCAAAAGTACCAGAGTTTCTGTAAATACATGAGACATTTGTATTCTTGAGGTGTCTTGATGCTTGGTTGCATGGGGATGTTCTGTTTATGGTGTTCTCTTCTTCTCCCCCCCC